GTGAAACAATAATGGTGGAACAGTAGAACAGAGATGGTGGAACAATGATACAGGAAGAGTGGAACAAGGATAGTGCAACATTGGATCAGTGATGGTGGAACAGTGGGATAGAGTTGGTGGAACAGTGCAATAATGATAGTGGGACAGTGGAACAGTGATTGAGGAGCAGTGGAACAGAGATGGTTGAACAATGATACTGAAAATTAAAAATGGAACAGAGATGGTGAAATATTGGACCAGTGATGGTGGAACAATGGAACAATGATGGGGGAAGAATGGAACATTGATTGTTGTGCTGTGGTGCAGCGATGGTCAAACAGTGGAACAGAAATGACGGAAGGTGGAACAATGATGGTGGAACAGTGAACAGTGGAACAGAGATGGTGGAATAGTGGAACAATTGAACAGAGATGGTTGAAGAATGAAACTGGAACAGTAGAGGAAGAGAGATGGTGAAACAGTGGATCAGAGATGGTGGAACAGTGGAACAGTGGAACAGTGATGGTGGAACAGTGTTACAGAGTTGGTGGAATAGTGGAACAATGATGGTGGAACAGTGGAAGATTGATCATGGAACAGTGGAAGATTGATGGTGGAACAGTGGAACAGTTATAGTGGAACAGTGAAACAGAGATGGTGGAAGAGTGGAATAATGATGGTGGAAAAGTAGAATAGTGATGTAGGAACAGTGAAACAATAATAGTGGAACAGTAGAACAGTGATGGCGGAATAGTGGAACAATAATGTTTGAACAGTGGAACAGAGAAGATGGAACAGTAGAACATATGATGGTGGAACAGTGGAACAGAGATGGTGGAACAGTGGAACGGTGATGGTGGAATAGTGGAACAGAGATGGTTGAACAGTGCAACAATGATGGCGGAACCATGGAAAAGAGATGTTGGAACAGTTGAACAGTGATGGTGGAACAGTGGAACAGTGGAACAGAGATGGTGGAGCAGTGGAACGGTGATGGTGGAACAGTGGAACAGTGGAACAGTGGAATAGTGATGGTGGAACAGTGGAACAGTAGAATAGTGGTGGTGGAACAGTGGAACAGTGGAACAGTGGAACAGAGATAGTGGAACGGTGGGACAGTGATAGTGGAACCGTGGACAGTGATGGTGGAACAGTGGAACAGTGGAACATTGGAACAGAGATTGTGGAACAATGATACAGGAAGAGTGAAACAAAGATAGTGGAACATTGGATCAGTGATGATGGAACCATGGAACAATGGTGGTAGAAAAGTGGAACATTGATAGCCGGACAGTGCAACAGTGATGGTGAAACTGTGAAAGAGTAGATACCGGAAGAGTGGAATAATAATATTGGAATAGTGGAACAGTGATGATGGAACAGTGGAACAGAGATGGTGGAACGGTGGAATAGAGATGGTTGAAGAATGATACTGAAACAGTGGAACAGAGATGGTGGAACAATGGAAAAATGATGGTGGGAGAATGGAACATTGATTGTCGTACTGTGGAGCGGCGATGGTGGAACAGTGGAAAAGAAATGATGGAAGGCTGGAACAGTGAGGGTGGAACAGTGGAACAGTAGAACAGAGATGGTGGAAGAATGGTACTGGAACAGTGGAAGAGAGATGGTGAAACAGTGTAACAGCGATGGTGGAACAGTGGAAAAATGATGGTGGAACAGTAGAACAATGATGAAGGAACAGTGGTACAGTCATGGTGGAACAGTTGAACAGAGATGGTTGAACAGTGGAACAATGATGGTGGAACAGTGGAACAATGATGCTGGAACAGTGGAACAGCGATAGAGGAACAGTGGAACAGAGATGGTGGAACAGTGGAACAGAGATGACGGAAGAGTGGAACAATGTTTGAACGGTGGAACAGTGGAACAGTGGAACAGAGATGGTGGAACAGTGGAACAATGACGGTGGAACAGTGGGACATTGATAGTCGAACAGTGGAACAATGATGGTTGAACAGTGATGGTGGAACAGTGGAACAAATGATGGTGGAACAGTGGAACAGTGATCTTGGATCAGTGGATCAGAG